CGGTGAAACGATGATCAGTTATTCCAGGCTGCAGCGCTGAAGAATTCGCTGTAGCTGCGTGCATTGGACGCATCTTCTTCGTGGTCTGGGCATTCTTTATGTGAATCGTCACGTTCGGTTGGCTGCGCCTGGCCCCAGCTGCGGAGAGTGAAGCGGAGAGAAGACGGCATAGAGTTGTGCCGAGGGCTCCCCGAACGGTTTCCCGACCGCTCCCAGACCCTTCCGAAGGATTTCTCATCCTCGAATTACCTCATCCTCCCTCTGTCGGCGGCGAAATCTGAACCCTATTTTCGCCGATCAGCGATTCAAGCAACTCGAGGGCCGGCGGGGGTAGGATTCGGTATTCGCCGAACGAGTGGCGAAATGCGAACCGTATCCCCGCCTGCAGTCTTTTCAGGAGAATCGATAGTTGGTGGGGGTAAGGTTCGGATGTCGCTTCCTATTTCCAGAGCATCCTGTGTTGTCGGGTCCTCACTTTGAATCCGCAGCGCCGCGTTCCACCTCACCTTCCTCATCCCTCCTCCATTTCCTCCCTCTTCCCAACCCTTCCTCTGCCTGCGCGTGCCCATTATGGCACCACCCTCAGACGTTTCGCGTCCCCATAGAGAGCTCCACCGAACGCCCTAGTGACATGGTTCGCATGCGGCTCCCCGCCCACCGCATGACCATGTCGGCACACCCCTCACACGTTTCGTGGCCCCAGTGGGGAGCTCCACCGAAGGCCCCAGTGGCAAGATTCACATGCGGCTTCCCGCCCACTGCTTTCCATGTCGGCACACCCCTCACACGTTTCGAGGCCCCATTGGGGGAGCTCCACCGAAGGCCCCAGTGGCAGGGCTCGCATGCGGCTCTGCGCCCACCGTATGACCACTTCGGCACCCCTCACACGTCTCGTGCCATTATAAAGTGAGCTTCACCGAAGGCCCCAGTAGCAGGGTTCACATGCGGCCTCCCCGCCCACCGCATGTCCATTTCGGCACACAACTCGCGCGTTTCGTGGACCCATGATAAGGAGCTCTACCGAAGGCCCCAGTGGCAGGGTCCACATGCGGCTCCCCGCCCATCGCATGTCCATTTCGGCACGCCTCTCCCACGCTTCGTGCTTCCAAAGGGAGCACGACCGAGAGCCCCAGTGGCAGGGTTCGCACGCGGGTCCCCGCCAACCGCATGTCCATGTTGGCACGCCCCACACATGTCTCGTGACCCCGTATGGCGCTCCATCGAGGACGATACTCACAACTGCGTTACTCACAAGTGTATATGGTTGGGCCCTTCGCCTGGATAATCTCCCTTGTATATTCATCTCTCATCTACATCGGGCTATCTGGCAGCGGTTGACCCACGCGGGTCCAGCGTCTCCGGTCTCCAGCACCCGACCCGCGTTCTGAAAGCTCCGGCGCGGGTCGGGCGGCCAGTGCATCGCCCCGCCGCCAGTGTTTGCGGAGGCGTGAGCTTTGGGTTGTACACCACCCCCTCACCGTCTGGGGAGTGACCCCCAGATCACAGATCATGTGAGCCATTAGGACGCCCTCCAGACCAGCGCGATGCGTTAGCCCCAGAATACACGATACCCTCTTCGTCAGCTGCGCGGGGGGGAAACCATAGGGAAGCACGACCCCACCATAGTTATCCTAGGAGGAAGGCCTGGAGCACAGAGTCGTCGCCAGACCGTCTGCAAGGCATGGATCCTCGTGTACAGGACGCAGTTCGCAAGACGCGTGGGGGGGACTAGGGTAAGCCAGCGCCGTCATACCTGTACCGTGTAGTACACTCTAGCGCGCGGGCCTCGCCAAATGATGAGGGTGAATCCTAGAGTGCAGGATTCCTTCGCATCAGGCGGATGCGTGAACGCTAGGGAATATCGCCCCCTCCGTACCTCATCGGGGAAGGAACCCTTGGGGGCTAGGGTATGGTACAGACACTCGCGGGGCGTGAACCCTGGAGTTGAGGCAGGGAGGATGAGGTGGAGGGATAAGGCGAGGGCTGAGGAAGGAGGATAACAGAAGAGAATGGAGGCAAGCGTCGCAGTAGTCGTCGTGCGACAGCGTGGCGGGTCCCAGCATGAGGAGAGTTTATATTCAGCCGTTTCTTTCCCCAACAACTCGGTCGAAAGAATTGTCGGAAGCCTCTTGGGGTATTCTTGGGGATCGCTCGGGCAGCCGGGGGGTATCTCAGCGAGGGGGATGCCAATGAGGATGGCCGGGAGGCACCGAGAGAGCGGGCAGCCACCACGCGAAGTCCAGAGTGGGGCCACGGTGCAGCTGTGTTGCCCTGGGGCCTCCTTGGGACCCTCGGGCCGTCCTGTTGCTGCGGCACGGCGCCGCCGAAGCCACGGGGCGCTGGGTGGGGACGCCCAGGTCGGTCGCTCGATCCGTTCGCTCCCCCAGCGTCCGTCGGAAGGGGCAGCTGTTGGCATCACTCGTGGAGGGACTGCGGCGCTGAGGGACGACGCTGCCGCCCACGATGCGACCCGGTTCGATGCGCGGGCGTGGCCCGCGATCCCGACTACTCGATTCGACCTGGTTCGCTGTACCAGCTTCGGCCGGGGGCCAGCCGCGGCCGGGTTTGCGGCGATCCAGCTTCGAGCCGATTCGGGAGGATGCGCCGGCAGGCAGATCCGTGCATGATCCGGTGCGGGTTGGCGATTCGCTGCGGCTCGGGCAGGGGTGAGACAGGCGTGGTGCAGTCCAACCTCTGGGATAGGGACCACTGTGGCATCCGGCGGGGCTCGAGGTTCCAGAGGAGCTCTCATGATGGGTTTTTTTCCCCTGGCGTGCCTCGTGCCTCCTGGGCGAGAGCCTCCAGAGGGGCTTCGTCTGTATCGTATAGGAACGGGATCGGAGCTACTCTAACTCCCGTCACACCGCCTGAGTAGACCAGAGCTGGCCCTGGGACCCATGGGACCCCGAGGGGTGATTGATATGCGTATCGTTTCCTCGTATCTGGCGTCGCGAAAGACCTGATACGGCTAGCTACCTTTCTATTTTGGACACATGACGGTCACAAGACGAAATCTGAATGTAAAGCTTGTCTCGTGGAAGGGGCCAACAGCCTCAGGGGCCTGTTGGGGAGAAAATGTGGTGACGTCGCAGGAGAAGATGTGTCCGCTCCCGCGGACAGGAGGTTGACCGTATCCTTGGTTGCAACTCTTGGGATGTTAAGTTCAGCATCGGCGCTCATCACCCTTGGCCAGAAGCCGTACAACTCTGGTTGACCTCGCTCACTGCGGCAAACACCCGCTGAATCCGGCCCAGTATATGGCTCAGCCCGGCTGAATGTAACTTGAGCTGATCTCGTGGCCCCTCAAGCTGGCTCGAGCTGGTCTCGTGGCCCCTCAAACCGCCTCCGTCGCCCCCATGCAGCGGCCGCTCACCAGGGACCTCTCGCCTGGGCCCAGGACGCCGGAGGCGATGGGCACGGACCGTTCAAGCCATGGTCCAGCCGAGCTCTCGGCCCCTCCCCGACGGGCCCGCCTTTCACCCCGCGGGTTCTCTTCTGGCCCCGTGGCCCGAGCGAGCGACCCCCACCCCCCCGAGCTGGTCGACTCCGGTGCCGGGGAAGCCTGCTGCCTCCTCCTCGCTCCTCGCTCCTCCTCGCTCCTCCTCGCTCCTCCTCCTCCTCCTCCTCCTCCTCCTCCTCCTCCTCCTGCCTCCTCCTCCTCCGCTCCTCCTCCTCCTCCTCCTCCTCCTCCTCCTCCTCCTCCTCCTCCTCCTCCTCTCCTCCTCCTCCTCCTCCACCCATCCATCACCTCTCCTCGCTCCTCTCCTCCTCCACCTCCTCCTCCTCCTCCTCTCCTGCTCCGCTCCTCCTCCTCCTCCTCCTCCTCCTCCTCCTCCTCCTCCTCCTCCTCTCCTCTCCTCCTCCTCCTCCTCGTCCTCCTCCTCCTCCTCCTCCTCTCCTCTCCCTCCTCTCTCCTCCTCTCTCTCTCCTCGCTCATTCTCTCTCCTCCTCTCCTCCTCCTCCTACCTCCTCCTCCTCCTCCTCCTCCTCCTCCTCCTCCTCCTCCTCCTCCTCTCTCCTCTCTCCTCTCTCCTCTCTCCTCGCTCACTCCTCCTCCTCCTCCTCCTCCTCCTCCTCCTCCTCCTACTCCTCCTCCTCCTCCTCGCTCCTCCTCCTCCTCCTCCTCCGTCTCCTCCTCCTCCTCCACCTCCTCCTCCTCCCTCCTCCTCCTCCTCCTCCTCCTCCTCCTCCCTCCTCTCTCCTCTCTCCCTCTCCTCTCTCCTCTCTCCCTGTCCTCCTCCTCCTCCTCCTCCTCCTCCTCCTCCGCCTCCTCCTCCTCCCTCCTCCTCCTCCTCCTCCTCCTCCTCCTCCTCCTCCTCCCTCCTCCTCCTCCCCCTCCTCCTCCTCCTCCTCCTCCTCCTCACTCCTCCTCCTCCCCTCCTCCTCCTCCTCTCTCCTCTCCTCCTCCTCTCTCCTCGCTCTCCTCTTTCCTCCTCCTCCTCTCCTCCTCCTCCTCCTCCTCCTCCTCCTCCCTCCTCCTCCCTCCTCTCCTCCTCCTCCTCCTCCTCCTCCTCCTCCTCCTCCTCCTCCTCCTCCTCCTCCTCCTCGCTCCTTCTCCTCGCTCCTCCTCTCTCCTCCTCGGGCCCTGAGCCCCGAGCGAGCGCCGCGCCTTTCGCTGCGCCGAGGAGTGCCTTCCCGAGTCGCTCCATCGAGGTCTCCGCGAGCCCCTTCCCGGAAGGCCCAGCGGCAGTCCGGGAACGCCCCGCGGGGCTCCCACGGGGCTCTGGGGGGGGGCCTTTGGGGCGCTCTGGGAGGGTCCTGGTCCGCGTCGCCCTGCTTCCCTCTCCCTCCGTCCTTCTCCCGCCTTCTCCTTCCGCTCCTCCTTGCGGCCTCCCTCCCTCCCCCATCCCCCAATGCTACCTCCGCCCCCCTCACTGCTCGCTCCTGGCTCCTCCCTTGTCGCTGCCCGCCTCCTTGCGCCTGCGGCCCTCACTCCTCGCGCCCTCGTATGCTACAACGCTGGGATCAGCGCGTGCGAAAAGGGCATGTGCTGGCAGCAGGCGCTGTGTTTGCTCGGCGAGATGTGCGACGAGGAGATCGAGCGGGGCATCGTCAGCTACTCTGCTGCCATCAGCGCCTGCGAAAAGGGCAGGCAGTGGCAGCAGGCGGGCCACGGCATCAAAAGGGGGGGGCCCTGGATGTCCGCGCCGCGCGCCGTTGCGTGTCGCCCCTCCTGCAGCTTCTTCTCCCCAATGCGGCGCACGCCCCACGCGTCGTGTGGCCCCCCTGCAGGGAGCTCCACCTGCGCCCCCCCCCCCCCCCCCCCCCGCTCACGTCGGCACAAACCCTTCACGCGTGTTGTGGCCCCCAGGGCAGTCGGCCCAGATTAGCAGTTGTCGATCCTGCCAAGTCAAGGGTACCCTTAGATCCCGTGTCTCGCGACCCGTGCACCCTGCATTTCTGTGGCAACGTGGCCCTCGGAAGGGTCTTGTGCCCTCTCGCGTGTCCTGTCCAATCGAGTCCGACTGTAGGGTCAAGTCGGGCCTGTCCCCCTACAGGGGGATTTTCGACGACAGATAAAAAATACCCCCCAAAATAGTCAAACAATAATCCAAAAACAGTCAGGGGACTATTTTTTTGTATTGTTTGACCTTGTTGGGGCATTTTGGGGGTATGCTTTATTTTTCGTCGAAAATCCCCCTGTGGGGGGACAGGCCCGACATCACTGTAGGGAGCTCCACCGACGACCTGCGACACCACCCAGGTTGCCCGCGCCTGCTCCCCTGCCACGTGCAGGCGCACCCCCATCGCGAGGCTCGCGGCTCCACGCGGGGGAGCTCTGCCTGCGGCTCCCGGCCAGGGCGCTCGCGTGCGCTTTCCCCGCCGCCTCCCGCGCGCCCCTCGCGCGGACCGCCCCCCCGCAGGAAAATCGGAGGTGGATAGACCTCCTGCCCTGACACCGGTGGTCGATAGGAATCGGCCGTTCTCGGTTCGCGAGGGGGCGCCGCGCCCGTCATTTTTTGCGGGTCCAGGTCCGTCGGTTTCGGTCCCAGGCCGTTTTCGCTGATGGGAGGTTTACGAAAGGGAGGCTTGTCCACCGCCGAAGGAAGCTGCTCCACCACCGGCACCGGTGAGGGCTCCCACAGGCGCCCCGCCCCCCCGCCCACCTCGGCAGGCCCCTCAAGTGGAGCTCCGCCCACGGGGAGCCCCGCCTGCGGCTCCAGCGGGAGGGTTCGTGTGCAGGCCCACGCCCAGTTTTGAGTCTGTCGGGCATGTCCCTCTACAGGAGAAATGTGCATAAATAGTTTGAAGAATAGTGTGGGGACGATTTTCCTGGGATTTGTCTGAAATCATGTTTGAATGTTTTTTGAGTATTTGGTTTTCAGAATCTGCCTGTAGGGGGACATGCCCAATCTGAGCCCAGTTGGGTGTACCCCGCACGCGGACCGTGTCTCTCCTGCGGACTCAGCGGGTGTGTGGCCCGTCGCCCCAGGGAATGAACGCAACACGGCCCATCGATCACCCGAGACGTATTCAGCCCCTTCTCACCGCAAGGCGACTGCTTCTATAGACGTCCCATGCACAAGAGCACCTTGCGAGGGCAATCTGCTCCGTTAGACTCATGTCGGGCGTGTCCCCCTACAGGGGTATTTTCGACGAAAAAACAAACAACACCCCAAACATGTCCCAAAAAGGTCAAACAAACTACTAAAAAAATAGTCCCCAAACAATGTTTGGATTATTTTTGGATTATTGTTTGACCATGTTGGGGGCGTTTTTTATTTTCCGGCGAAAATCCCCCTGTAGTGGGACAGGCCCGACTTAACGTTAGACTTTCCAGCAGCCCACGAAAGTGGGGAGACCCGCACCGGTGGCACCCTCCCAGAGAGCAGCGAGGTCTCGCCTGCCGACCGCCTCCGCTGGACCTCCCGGGAGCCCACGAAAAGGGTGGCACGTGCGCAGATGGAGGCCTCCCAGGGAGCAGCGCAGGAGGAGGAGGAGTTGTTGGAGGAGGAGGAGGAGGAGGAGGAGGAGGAGGAGGAGGAGGAGGAGGAGAGGAGGAGGAGAAGGAGGAAGAGGAGGAGGAAGAGGAGGAGGAGGAGAGGGAAGAGGAGGAGGAGGAGGAGGAGGAGGAGGAGGAGGAGGAGGAAGAGGAGCAGAGATCACAGTGCTTTCAAAGCGAGAACCCGATCAAGGGCGTGTTGGGAGGCAGTTCCTGAAGTGGTGGCATGAATCTGGCACCGCAGCCATGACTTACGCAGGGCGAAATATTCCCCTGTTGAGATGAAAATGGCGATGAGGAGTTCGCGAGATAACGGCGCCGCCGAACGGACGTCGTCTGGACCTGCTCTTTGCAGCAACCGGGAGGAGAGAGATGTATTCATGTTGAGTTGGGCCCGCGTGCGCGGAGAGGTGATAGGTGTGCGCGAGAGAGCAGGACCCCTCTTGGACGCTGATATCCGAACCCCACTGCCCCGTAGAATCTGAACACGGGCGCGCCTGGGGTCCGTGGATCCGACTTCTGTCGGTTCCCTGAGGGTCAGAAATCGTATCCGCCGTAAAACATGGGACGGGGTGCGGAGCCCAGAAATCCGAAACCGCATCCGCGCAGACAGAAACGGGATCCACCACAACACAAATCAATACCACAATCGGTTCTGCGAGAGACTTAATTGGATCCAGAACCGTTCCTCTGATACGTGTCCGCGCCTGGCCGAAACCATCTTCTACCGGGCCCACGAGGAACAAATTGTCGCCCTGGGGATGTAGGTTGGACCGTGAGTTTTCAAACCGCGAGAAAACTAGACGCGATATTGTTGGTAGTGGTAGGGTCTGCGTCAGTTGTAGTAACAGTGGTAGTGATAGCAGCATTGATGGGTGATGGCGGTGCAGGTGTTAGTGCCAGCGGCGGCAGCGATGAAAGGAGACGGTCGAAACATGTGCTGGATCAGAAGGTGCAGTGGCATCGAAGGCTGTAGCAGTAGTTTCAGCAGCAGTCATTGTGATACAAGTCGTCGTAGTCGTAGCCATGAGTGTAGCTGTGCTATTCATAGCAGTAGCATGAGTAATGCAATGCTGGTGCTGCAAGCAAAACAAGCAGTGGCACAGCCATGAATTTAGTCCTACTGCTTTCGTCGCAGAACCAGGGCATGCACGGAATATACAATTCAACCAGCCCTGTTCCGCCCCGGATCCCAACAGGCGCTATGGTTGCTGAGAGAAATGAAGGAAGCAGCGCCGAAATGCATGAACACCATCAGTTATAATGCTGCTATTAGCGGATGCCAGAAAGGAGGCCAGTGGCAGCAGGCGCTGTGGTTGTTGCGCGAGATGTATGGAGCGAAGGTGGATCGAAGCGCTGTTACTTACAATGCAGCTGTCAGCGCATGCGGCTCAGGCGGGCAGTGGCAACGGGCTTTGAGTTTGTTGAGGGAATGCCGAGAAATGGACATACAGCAGGACGCGGTCAGTTTCAACGCCGCAATTAGTGCGTGCGATAATGGTGGAAATTGGCAGCAGGCGCTGTCGTTGTTGAGAGAATTGCGCGATTCAGGTCTTGGATTTGATGTCATAGGCTATGCCGCTTGCATAAGCGCGTGCAGGGAACGCGGGCAGTGGAAGGAAGCATTGTGGTTGCTGAGCGAGTTGTCAAACGTGAAGCTAGAGCCAGATTGGGTCAGCTTCAATGCAGGAGTGAGCGCGTGTGAGAAAGGTGGGCAATGGGAGCAAGCATTGGATTTGTTGAGCGAGCGGCAGATTAAGATGAAGCTTGACGTCATCAGCTATAACATCGGGATCACCGCTTGTGAGAAAGCGGGGCAGTGGCAGCAGGCGTTAGAGTTATTGATGGAGCTGTTGGATGCGACAGTGGAGCTAGACGTCGTCACCTACACCTCTGGAGTCAACGCGTGCGAGAAAGGAAGCCAGTTCCAGCAGGCGGCATGCTTTTCGAGCGACTTGGGCCTGGCGTCAGAGCGGCGGATGGAGGTGCTCTTCCACCAGCGTCTCACTCGTTGAGCAATGCCAGTGGTTAAGCCGTTTACAGTCAGGACTGAGCAAGGACACAGACACCGCAGTCAAGGCCCCTCCCCTGCGAGGGGGTCTATGCCACCATCGCGAGTTGGAGTTTCCAGATGTATCGAAAGAAACGCCGACCAGCAGCGACATCACAGCTCCTACTCCCTGCGTTTGGGCCAGGCGAGGAGGCGATCGACGTGGAGCTCTGGCTACTGGCAGCCTGAGTTCTCTTCTCCCACGCTTACGCGCTGCTCTCACGGCGCAAGATATTCGTAGATATGATGCTCGCTGGTGTTGACGCGGGCCTGCTGCGTGGAAGTGAGTGCGGAACTTGACGACAACGCCGACTGAGACATTGACAGGGGGGACCTCTGCGAGATGTTGATAGTAGAGCTGGAGCCACTGTTTCCTACATGTGCGGCCAGAATGCTGCAAGCGCTCCGGCCTTGAGCCCTGGCCTGAGAATCCTGAGACTTCGCTACGGCACTGAGTCACAATGCATCGTCGAGTCGGGCGTGGCCCATCTACGGCACAGCTTCCCGGCAGAGGTGCAGGCAGGCGGGCGCGGGTGTGAAGAGGACCTCACTCTATCATATGAGAAGGAAGAAGCGGCATAAGCCATGAATTTTGGAAGGTTCGAAATGTCCTCGTCCTCCTTCACCCTCGTTCTTGCTCGGTCTCGCGATTCAAGGAGATGTTATTGAATTGCGCTGCCAGCTGATGTGCGAGATGTGCGTGGCTCGTCGGAGCGTGGGCATTTCATTGTCGAACAAACAATGCCTACGAATATTCGCGCGGATTTCTTGGATCTGCACCGGGCGCCCCCAGCGGCGCCTCCGCTGCTGTCCTTGGGCGCGCTCCGCGTGCCAGGAAGGGAGGCACAGCGCCGATTCAAGAAATCGGCCAAGACCCCTGAAAGTTTGTTTACATTTATGCAGTTGTTGCTGTTACTCCTCCCCGCTCGCGGCCTGGGCCAGAGCGGCCGCCCTTCTCTCCAGGGGGGGCGGCGCCAGGGCGCGAGGGCACGAAGATGACACACCGCAGCGCGGGGCGCGGTGGGCGAAGTGCGGTGGCCTGGACTATATCCTGCCCCCGCTCCTCTCCCCCGCCATCCCGCCCGTGCCCTGCCCCCCCCCGGGCTCCCCCGGGAGCTTCCGACTGCGCGGGGAGCTGCTGCGAGGTGGGGGGCGCGTCTGGGGCGCGAGGCGTGCGCGGGGCGTCGCCGGCGGCGCGAGGCGGTCGGGTGGCTCCCCTGGTTTGAGGGTCGGCCGCTGCGCAGCCGGCTGCCGCTGCAGCTGCGAGGCACGCGCGCTCCTCGCAGGTGAGGGCGGAAGACATCTCCGTCTCCGCTGCCTCGCGGGCTGGGCCCTTGGCCGCGACCCCGTGGACACGGAGCGTGCTTCGCAGATGCCCTGCGCGGAACGTATCCGTGCGGCCGCACATCCACGGGATCGCACCTTGGAATCCAGATCGCGAGGGCGAGGATTTGGATACATTCGCCTCTCGTGAGCGGGGATGGGGGGGGAGGAGGGGGAGGAAGAGGCTGGTAGAACCCCCAGACATGCCAAGTGGGTCCGCGAGCCTCTGTCGGTTCTCAAGAGGGCGTCGCCTCCGCGGTTGTTTTGCTGTGGGCCTGCGCCCGCTGGGTCTGGCTCCGGGTCGGTTTCGCGGAAGGGTGCTGTGCTGAAGGGTGTTTCTTCCTGTCCTCCGCGGCCGCCCTGCCTGTCTATGGTCGGGGCGCTGAAGAAGGAACCCTTTTCCTTTGGGAGGGGCTCAGTGTTCCTGAGTTGTTTTGCAGCTCGCCTCAGGTTTTCCTTGGGTCTTCGATCGGAGTTCGAAGCTTAACTTATAGGAAACAAGGGGCCTCGTTCCTTATTTCGGGTTCCTTAGGTCAACGCCCCGACTGTAGTCCCCCCCCCCTCTCCTGCATGCCGGCCAATTCGCGCTTCGCTCGCCCCGATCGCTCCCCGCTGGTGCAGCTCTTCTGCCTCGCCGTCGGGGGGCGTCCGGGGGCCATCGTGGAGCGACCCGGGAGCAGCTTGGACCGTCCGTAGGCTCTCTTTGGAGTGCAGCCGAGTGCATCCCCGGGGCTGTGAGGGGGGCAGTGCTGGGAGCCTCCTGGGCGTGCTGGAGGGGCGGGCTCGTGCGCGCCTCCGGAACCCTGTCCCGGGGGTGTGGAGCTCATCCTGGGGCGAATTCTGAGCCGAACGGTCGGGAATGCCCAGCGAGAGGAGGACCAGCGACAGTTTTTCCCAGGCAGTGCTTGCACATGTGGGTCCTCACTCGAGAGGGGCGAAACGAAGCAACCCCTAAACCAGATCAAGGCCGCCCCGTACTTGGCACTCTGACGACAGACGAGGGGATCGGCAACTGATTGACGTCGATGGCCATCGGCCCTCAAATGTATGGGCAAATAGCCAAAGGGCTCTTACTTTGTTTGTGAGGAGCTGGGCGTAGGGTCCAGCACTTCGGCTCATTGTCACCTCGCGGGCGTCTCTTGTCGCCTAGTGGCCGCACTGTGGGCGCTCGTTGCCTGCGCTGTTCTGTGCGCTGCTCTGTACAGCCTGCACGCTGCAGGAAGGACCACTTTCGGCTCGGGAGGGACCCTTGCTGTCGGGCCGTTCCTTGGATAGGTCGGGGAACCTCTTCGAAGCCAAGGCTCGCCGTGGCCAGTCCTCATTCGGCGTTCCTTGCAGCAGCACGGTGACAGTATTGCACCGCACAGGTGGCACAAACTCTTGGTTTTTTGGGTCCACGCTGGGACCATACTTTTTGTTTGTGGTTCCCTAGGAGCCACGCTCTGTCTTGAGGGATCCTGGTCGGGATGAGGCACCATCAGTCTGGGGCCTCATCTGGTGGCATCCAAAGCATCTGCAGGAAGGCATCGAGGGCCCCGTCGGCGATTCTGCAAGCCTGGAGGGCCGAGAAAGTAGCGGCATGGAGCTTGGGCTCCCTCCCCCCAAACGGAGCAGCCAAGCATCTCTCACGCCTGCTCGTAAGATGGCCAACCAACACTGGCAGCCCGAAGACCTGGCATCCCTCGGTGCAGGTGGCTCTCGGTGCTGGTGTCAGCGTGTGTGCCATTTAGGCTGCATCACCAGGGAGGTTGTGCTCGGCATCGGCATTGGTATTGTCCTGGTGTTAAGCCTGCCTTGTCTGAAGCCGGCGTAGTCTCCTCAAGTGTGGTTCAATCCAGCCTGAGTTGGGTTTTCATCTGGATGAAGCCTTCTAAACGCCCCAGGCCTGGCCTAATCTCGACCCGATTATATTTCCCAGGGGGTGACTCCTGACGCAAGCATCCCAGATAGTTGGAGATCCGACGTTGCGAAAAAAGGAAACATCACGAAACATTCTGAAGCCCTAGACCTCATCTTCCTGCTGCATTTCTCGAGCAGGATCGATCTGTGATGGCCGCAGGGCATGAAACCGGGCGCCCTGGAGAACAAAAAGCTACTGATACCGGTGCTCTCCTTGGACCTCTCCCTATGTGCGTCGTGGCTTGAATTTTGAGCAGAATATAGCCGTGGCGACGAGGGTTCTCCAGGACGAGCAGCGCTATCGGTATCTTGTCCCCCTCGGTCTGAAAAGCCGCAACGCCAGGATTCCAGGGGAGGGTCGATTGCAGTGGCTAGACAGTAAATCACAGACGCTCTCGCTCGTCTTGGGTTTAATGTACATCAGCAAAAAGCGCCAAATTACGCTCAATAGCTCCAAATAGCTCCCACTTGCGCCCAGCAGCGCCAAACAGTGCTCAGGTGTCCAGACAGCGCCCAACAGCGACCAACGGCGCCCAGCAGCCCCATGTGGGGAAGAGGATGCACCATGTCCGCGTTGAGCGCGATCGGGCGCTGTTGGGCGCCATGGGGACGACCAAAAGCTTCCGTGCGTTGCTCTGTAGCAGTGGTGGCGATGCCAGCGTCCCCCTTGCCGTTTTCCTCCCTGTCTCCAGCACGCGTCGCGCGCCTCTTGGCACGTTCCCCGGCAGGCGCGGCTCGTCTCCCTGTCGGTCCTCGGAGTGCTGCTGGCCGTGATCGGCTGCGTGGTGACCGCGCGCTGGGGCTAGGATCTGCGCTGACGCTCCTGGCGCGCTCGGCGGCGCGGGCGCGGCCTCTCGCAACGACTCAGCGGGCGAAGAACGGTATCAAATAATTTTGTTCGTTGTCGGGGGCGCTTGTCCCTGGGCGGCTGGAAAGTTTATACCCCTACGGTGCCACCGTAAGGGTATAAACTTTCCAGCCGCCCAGGGACAGGCGCCCCCGACAGCGAACAAGTTTAGGTTATACCGTTCTTCGCCCGTTAAACGACGTTCCCCCACGAGAAGAGTTCTCGTGGGCGAAGGTCTTCTCGTCCACGAGGAGGCTTCCCGTGTCATGTGCCTTAGAGTGGGAGCAGGGCGGCCAGCCATGGGCCCTCGGGCTGCGCAAGGTGGCAGAACACTGCCCTGGAGGGCGGTGCGAGCGGTAAAGCGCCGCCACCTCGAGGTCCTCCTATTTTATTCGACTTGTTGGATTAGGTCCTCCCTGTGTTTCGAATTTTTGGATTTCTCTCGCTGCCTGGCAAAATGGTCCAAGCCCATCTTCTTTGCGTCTCTCTTCTTTGCTCAGTATCGTTGAAACGATCCCGATCCCCATCCCCATCCCCTTCGAGACCCCCACCAAAGTACCGCCCCAGTTGGGGATACCCCTCTCGAAACCCGAAGGGAACGACCTATATCCCCATCTAGGGGGGTACATCGGCCAGTGGGGCCCAGGCCACGCCGCTGGGGATGGGGATCGGTTCAACGATACTCATTCGCTGCTGCTTCTCAAGACGTCTGGCATCAGGGTCATGTGTCACGTCGGCCCGCTGACCCCTCGGCCCCTTCCTGCAGACCTCTGCCGCATCCCCTACTCTCGCAGGCCTAGAGGTTGGCACCAACGCCAATATCGGCGGTGTGCCTCCACCGAGGGAAGAAGATCCCGATCTCGGTGATGGTGGTAATATTCTGGCCGCCGAGGTGGTCGAGATATTACCACCAGCACCGGAATCGAGGATCATCTTCCCCCTGTGGAGGCAACCACTTGTGCTCGATTCCAAGCCGCCAGTACTCAGTGCTTCTCGCGATGGCCCCTGGGCCGGAAGCCGGCCTCCGATGGCCGACACGGCGACGGACCGGCGGCTGCCAGGGGCGATCCTGGCCCACGGTGCCCCCACCCTGCCGCGACAGCAATGGAGCCCCTGGGGCCCTCCTGGACCTCGCGAGGGGGTGCTCGGGAAGAGCCCCTGGGCCTCCCCCTGGAGAGGCGCGGGGGCAGCCCAGGCGACGCCCGATGGCCGACCTGGCGACGGGCGCACCAGCTGGCCTCCGGAGCCCGAGGTGGCGAGCCAGGGAGTGCGGCCGTGGCACCCCCGACGACGCCCAGAGGTCGGGCGGCTATTCCAGATTTCGTAATAAAAGGGAGGGGGTCTGGACCCTCCAAGACAAGCCATTTCAGACCTCCCCCGTGGGAGAACCCTCCAAAACACCGTCCCCAGACCCCCCCAGGCCCTCCAAGATGGCCTGGAAGAGACCCCCCCCGAAATGAGACCCCCCTCCCTTTATTACAAAATCTGGAGTAACGCTCCGCGCCCTCCTCGCCAGGCCGCCCCGGCCCGCAGGAGCACCAGATCAAGGGGCAGGACCCGAAGGCGGCACCGCCCGTGCGGGGGAACAACTCCGTCGCCGCGGAGAAGGACCCAATGGCGGCTGCCGGGAGGGAGGAGGCAGGAGGAGGAGGAGGAGGAGGAACAGGAGGAGGAGGAGGAGGCAGGAGGAGGCAGGAGGAGGAGGAGGAGGAGGAGGAGGAGGAGGAGGAGGAGGGAGAGGAGGAGGATCAGAGGAGGAGGAGGAGCAGGGAGCAGCAGCAGCAGCAGCAGCAGCAGCAGGAGCAGGAGCAGAAGCAGGATCAGTAGCAGGAACAGCAGGAGCAGCAGGCAGCAGGAGCAGCAGGAGCAGCAGGAGCAGCAGGAGCAGCAGGAGTAGCAGGAGCAGCAGGAGGAGGAGGAGGAGCAGCAGCAGCAGCTGCATCAGGAGGAGCGGGAGGAGAAGGAGGGAAACAACGAAAAGGGAGTGGACGACGACCAAGGCGATAAGGATCGTGATGGTGATGGTGATGATGACGGTGATGATTGTGATGGTGATGATGATGATGATGCTGATGCTGATGCTGATGACGATGATGATGATGATGATGATGATGATGATGATGATGATGATGATGATGATGATGACGATGATACTATTGATGATGCTGATAATGCTGATGATGCGATTCTGATGATAATGCTGATGATGCTGAGGAGTATGCTGATGCTGATGGTGACGGTGTTGATGCTGCTGGTGGTCATATTGATGATGATGATGATGATGATGATGATGATGATGATGCTGAGGATGATGATTATGATGGTGATGATGATGATGCTGATGATGATGATGATGATGATGCTGATGATGATGATGCCGAGGGAGGAGGATGATGATAAGGAGGATGATAAGGAGGATGACTGATGAGGATGAAAATGATGGTGATGTATATGGTGATGGTGATGGTGATGGTGATGGTGATGGTGGTGATGGTGATGATGATGATGATGATGATGATGATGATGATGATGATGATGATGATGATGAGAAGTAGGGTGATGATGTGAACATACTGCTAATATGGATGATAATGAGGATGAGGATGATGAGGAGGAGGAGAAGGATGAAAGAGAGGAGGAGGATGGTGTGAAGGAGGAGGATAGAGGAGGATGAGGATCAGTATGAACCAGTTTGCAAGAACCCCCCACTACTCCCCTCTTCATAGGTCCCTGCGAGATTCTTTTCATTGCGGGAAGTGCCCCGTTGGAAGACAACAGTCTGATAGTGCTCAATCGTGTCAAAGCACGGCTCATGGAACTACAACGCTGCGACTCAACGTGACTGTGAGGTCCCGAACATCCACGGCCGGCGAAGCGACGCCTGCAACCACGCGTGGGCTACGCTACAAGGCACCACCAATCATAAGCGTACCAAGTTGCGTGATGCAGCAGCAGAGCACGACGATTGGCGACGGCGGCGCCTCAAGCAGTGCCACAGTGCCTCGCCTACCCTACCACTACCCTCGTCAACATTAACCTCAAAAGTTGCTGGCACGTCATTTCGATTTCGGCGCGCCCCTCAATGTCGACACGCCGCCCCTTCAATGTCGGGGCGAGGGCAAAGATGGTCTGACCGAAGTTGACCCGATAGTTTGACGTCGCCCGGCATTGGAGGGGCGGCGCACGCAGGTACCCCGCACTCATCGATACTCGGCCCCAGATCTTCCGACAAGCAGCTCAACCACGTCAGACATTTTTGAGGTTCATTTTGACGAGGGTTGCAGGACGTCCCATCCAAGCCACCACCTCCGACACCGCCACTGAGCATCGGCGAGCCGAGGACGTCTCGTGGCAGCTGCGGTCGATCCATTTCACGGGGCGCCCACAAGCAGCGCCACTGCACTCGGGATACACCCGCGCGGGCACCCCGTGCGAAAAAAAGCGAGGCCGCCGATCGAGAGCAGCCACCACATATGGGATGGCCTCGGGAGCTGGCCTCCGCGAGAGGCACCACGACAGGATCGCACGACTCACCAGCACGATCACGAGTATCAGGAGGGAGCAAAAACACACAGACACAATTAATCGTCGATTCCCAAGAAAATATGCAAAAATATGGGAAGTGAGGGGGGAAAGACAGAAACCCAGAAAATATGGGAAACAATTCGGGATTATTTTATTTTGTCTATTTATTTGTGTGTCCCAGGGCCCCTTCAGAGTACCTGCTACGACCCGAACAGCCTTCTCTTCAAGACCCACGTGCACAAGATACAGTGGAGGCCCATGCCAAGAAACACCCAGCTTGCCTCCAGGGTGCCCTGGGTCTCTTGGGTTTCGATGGTTATGCGATGGAAAGCGTGACGTTCCCACACCAACAATCAACGGACGTCCTGGGGTCTCAGGTATGGGTTTCTTGTGGAAGGTCTCTTGTGACGGCGCCCACCGTAGTCTCAGAATGCTTCGACGACGTGAATGCAGTAGGGGACAACCACGATATCCAGCTGGATGATCACCGTGACACGCACTTCGAGTACGGCAGGATCATGGGCCACGTCGAAGCATCGCTCATGGGCGTGGCGGGCTACGGTAAGCACGCCCGTTCGCGACGACACACGAGCAGACCGGACTCGCCCATATCGTCAAACACCAGCTCGCCACGATGCTATCGCACCAGGTCGGCGACGACTGCGACGACGTACCAATGTCAGCCGTAGTGGCCTACCAACGCCGCTGCCTGATCATGCACATCAATCTGGGCATACGCTACACAGGCGCTTCCAGAGAGACGCAGCCGCCGCTACTATCAACGAGATCAGCGAGCTGATCAACGTCCAGAATTCTGATCGCCAGCGCCTCGGAGCATGCGACCCACCCACACGGTGCAGCAGGCCAGCCTCCACACGCCACCAGCTGCCAGCAGCCCAGCGCAAGCATGTGCGCCAATCCACACGTCGAGCCACCACACCACGACCCGCTGACACACGCACCAGCACTGCAACACCAAGAGATCAGCTTCAGGCCCAACCGCTCAGCGTACCATCCTCAGGCCCATCTTCAGACCATCCTCAGGCCCATCCCGCTTAGAAGAAGCCCTTGCTCCATTTGCAACCTGGCGGGGGCATCGCGCGGACCTACGCGCCTGACCCACCGCCGAAACAGGTGCCGACCCGCAGCAGCGCCACAACCCAACGTCCCAGCTGGCCTTGACCTACAACGACCAAAAGCCGGTGCCGGCAGATGTCCGCACGACGATCCCCGACCGCGACGCAACCACGCCAACTAACGACCCCATCCCTCCCAACCAGCCTGGGAGCTTGGTAGCACCCCACGACCAGTCCACGGGGGGGGGCGCAAGGAAACCCCACTGGCCTGCAAGGCAAGCAGGCACACAGCCTTGAGGCGCCCACCAAGACCGGAGCTGACCAAGAGTGGCAGCCGTGGCCAGGGCACATTGCGAAG